AAATGTGCCACCAGTCAGGTTTAATCAGCACCTGAGGTACTGTACATCAGTGACCCTTGACCTCTCCCTGGCGACCCAGTGACTTGGCCTCCACAGAACAGAACATTCAGACCTGTCAGGGGAGCGCCTGCAGCCCCAGCGGTGCAGCCGGTCTCGAGCGGCTCACGCCCTGGAGACGATGGAAAACGGGAAGTGGGTCAGGGTCTGAGGTCTGCGGCTTACAGAGTGACGCCGGGCTGCCCGTTCGACGCCTCTGCGTGCCAATTGCTTCCTGGGGGCGAAAGCGTTAGCAGTAAACAGCACGCGGGCTTAAAGGTGGGGCCAGGCTGCTTTGAATAAATGCAAACAAGGGAGATGCACGAAACCTCATCAAACAGGTTAGTCGCTCTTGATTTTCAACCATTAAGATTGCAACAACTACCTTGGGAAACTGTCCCTTTGCATGCATAACAGGAACTACCAAGCTAAATGCCTTGTTATCCAAGCATGTCAGCTGGACGGGTAGCGTGAAACCATTACATCAGGTAAGGCTGGTGAAGCCCAACTGAAATATCCCCAACAGAAATAAGCAGGGTAGCCGAAGACAGGGGACTCAAACTGAGGAGGCTGGTTCCAGATGTGTGACATCATCAGTAAGAGTGCGGTCAGCCGTCTGAGCATAAATCACACTGCGCCCCCCCCCCCCCAGTCTTAACACTGCTCAATAATAGTGGAGCCGTTCAGAGCCCATTTGGGTGATTGGCTCTAAGAGCCCCCCCGAGGGTACTCGACACATGTGGGGGAGGAGACTCACACCCACAGATGTGCCCGTATTAAGGAGGAGAGAGCTCACTAAGGTGGGGGGGATGGTCAAGCGTGTGTCACGTAGCATCCATGATCACTACACGGAGCCTCAGACGTAGAGGCGAGAGCGACAGAACATGGTCAGTGGGTGACAGGATAAATGGGGGGGGGGGGGGGGGGCGGACGCTGACATCACACTGTGGAGAGAACACACGCTGAGAACATCAGCAAACATTGAACTGCGACGTGTTTGCCATGACGTGGGAAGATTAAGAGCGTGCGAGGCTTTTAAGTGGCAGTGAAATCCCAGTGGGACCCAAACCGGCACTTAAACAACACAGAGTGCGTGTGACGTCACTGACCCGGCACGATCCGCACACTTTTATTCTGATTACACTCCTTCTCTGACTGACAGCCATGTCAGCTCCCTGTTCTCCTCAGGACGGCAGCTTCCTTCAAACTTTATAGAAAACATCTGCTGGAGATGCCACGTTCCACCGTACAGCTTACAGGGGTGTCAGGTCGACCACAGCAGGGGGCTTTGAGAGGAGAGGGACCACGTTCTGCCACGTTAATGAGGTTCCGCTCGTGTTAGACTCCTGCTTTCGTAACACAGATGACGCCGCAACGCCAGAAAAAGCAGGTGTGCTTGTGCTGATCAAAAGGTGGATATGGTTCTGATTGCTTAAATTTTTAATGATTTAAATGAGATCCGCCCTTCAGCTTTGTGGGAATTTTCATTCATGGCCTTACGGGCCTTTGACGGGAAAGCCATACAGCTCCTGGGGGCCACAGATGGCTGCGCCCTCCCTGTGTGTTTCCAGCCAGACGTGGGGCGGAACAAGTGCTGCAGGAACTGGGAGGCCAGACACATCCCAGGGCAAGACCTTCCCGAAGAACCCCGTGGAAACAACGCTGCCAGCCCACCCCCAATATGAAGGTTTCTGCTACAGCCCCACCAGCCATGAGAAGAGGCTGGAAAGCAAGACAACAGGATGGCAGCAAGGGACTCGGGGGTGACACAGATATTATACCACAGTATACAGTATTTTGACAGTGTTTCCAAAAACAGCAGCATTCCGGAATTTTGAATTCCTCGTGACAAACATGTGCTGAAGTTTGAAGATGGGGTTTCCACGAAAAATTCGGCAAGATTTCAAAATATCTTGGCATAGCCAAAATACCGCGGTATACTGTAATACCGCCCAAACCTAGCTTCAGCTAGGAGTGTCGATCCCTGATGGGAAATCCAGGCAGGATTATTTGCAGGTCGGATCGCTCCGTTTTTGGCTTTCGTGACAGCATTCTTGCCGGAGTGCAGCAAAAACTGTAGCCGGGCCGGACATGAGAGACGGAGGCGGGGCTGGCAGATCAGCGGCTGCCTCGGAAGAGGAAGCGACAGAGGCAGTCAGCGGGGGGACCAGAGGCACCATGGACTGCTGACCCCGGCTTTTATTTAGCTGACACCAGACGTTGCGCTTTTTTGAAACTTGCTTTTCATCTTCTCACATTTTAAACGTTGTTTAACAGGTCAATAAAATGTCACGACAAAAACTGAGAACAAGAAAACGAGGACAAAACACACACACACGACACACACACACACACACACACAAACACATCTCAAAGATGACAGCCGCCCTGGTGTCCTGCAAGCCACAAGGAAGCCCGGCAGGAAGAGCGTCCCCCCTCCCACCCCCAAACACGTGTGGGACGTGATGGGACGCCTCCCGGGGGAGCATGCACGCTCACAGAGGGGGGCCATTCCAGCCCCCCCCATGGCGTCAGTAACCCCTGCTCCCTCGGTACTGCTGCATGCCGACTACATCAGCCAACATTAACACCTTGCAGTCCCAGTGTCTGGCACCAAAGGGCTCATACAGCATACAGGTTAGCTGTCTCCAGCACGGCCAGCACAGACCTCCGAGGACAGGGGCTTCAGCACCAGACCGGCAGGACCATGAAGAAACTGGCAGCAGCTAGACGTGACATACGGGTGCCATGGTCACTTGGCTGGTAGCACCGTTGCCTCGCAGGGCACCGGCCACGGGTGCGAATCCCGGCTCGCTCTGCTCACCCCATGGCGAGCGCCCCACTATGCACGACCGTCCTGCCAAAAAACGGAGCCACCTACAGGATTACACAGCGCACAGCCGGCACATTCATAGGCTGGTCTGGGAGTACAGAATTAGAGAAGAGGCTTTTTTAATGGATGGATGATGTGAGAATGAGACATTTTAGTTGAGACATTGTTCAGATGATTCAATGAAACAAATGACTATTAACTGTAGATATAAATACCTTCATACATATTGTTAAAATGGTCACCTGGAGAAATGGGAGTTAAACTTTGCAGTTTAACTAATATTTCATTTTCTCTTCTATTTAGTGTTCATTTGCATAAATTGAATGGTATCAAATTGGTATTCAAGACATTGAGATGATTCTGTAAATTTTTCCAGAAAGCAAATTTTCATGTCCAATCCCCGCCCTACTATGCTACAATAGTTTAACTATCGTTACATTTTCCAGGACTCTTGGTGGACACGAACCACGCAGACCAATCTGGGAATGACTCCAAGAGGTGCTGCTCTATAGGTAGGGAGGATTTTTAAGAGCAAACGAGGACGAAAAGGCAGACGTTCATGTAGCGTTCAACGCCAAATGAGGCACAGGTGACTTCTCAAAGGGCAGCCTCCTGATTACAATCAAACACATGCGGGACTTTCCGCATGCGGCCCCCGGCGGCCATTTCAGGGCGATCGCTGCCAAGAGAGCAGAGAAACCTGATGTGTTTAAGCAGCAATGGGCCGTGACAAAAGCACAGATTCACTCCTATAACGAGGCCTCGGTTACAAAAGCAAAGGGGCTGGAACACGTCTACATCACACACAGATGGGGACTCTAGAAACCCAACTTCTTACTTTATTCTACAGAAAAAATAATAGTCTATTACCCGGTACAATCACGAGATGCGGTGTCTGTGCTGATTTTCTACGATGAGTACGAAAAACAATGATAAAAAATCTGCAGCTAAGAGTGAAAAGTTAACCTTTATATCATCGATATTCTGGTGTATTTAAGAGTTATTCGCATTTAATTGCTAAAAAGTAACATTTTAAAATGTCAGAGAATAGCAGATGTTGTTACAAATACTTGTAACAAGATGGATGTTTCCAAATATTTAGTTCAGCCTCTTCAAAGACAACAACATTCATTTTAAAATAACCATTACCGTTTACAGCCAAAGTCAATGTAGGAAACCTGGCCACGTGATTTAAACCGTGCGACGCTTTAAATGAACATTTCTATCAGGGTTAATTAAGATGTCAGCCAGGAAAAAGCCGGTTTAAATAAGGCTAACATGCCGGCCTTTCGCCCAACCGGGACATATGGTATTTCGTTAAACAAACTGTTTTAATCACTTAATGGACAGGAATAGAAATGATATCATGCAAAAGTTAAACGTGTTTTTATGTGCAGCTGCTTCACGAAATGATGCCGCAGCCATGGCAGATCCGGACTGTCTCACACGTCGATATACAGCTTCTGTGGGGAGGGAGTAAAGCTCCCCGTATTAGTCTAAAGGAAAACAGAGCAACGTCCTGCAGTCATGCCCCCTAAATGAGTCATATCTCATACTTGATGTAGGGGAGGATATTTCACACCTGGTCATACATCTAGCACGCAGGGGGGGCTGGCTGTGAACCCCAGGCACGGCGATCCTGACCTCCCTTCAACTCCCCATCTGGGGCCACAGACTGACCGCCTGGAAAAGCACCAGCAGATCACTGGTCATTTAAGGTCTGTGATCAGCCCATACCACACCCTTTCAAAATCCCCATTAAATGCATCAACTTCGTCTATTCTCAGCATCCTAAAATGATCATGAATCGATAATTTTCCGCATATTTAACTCCCTGTAATTTACTTTATAAGATTTGGTGTGAATGCGCCAAAATGCAAACACCGGGCCATCTCTGCGTCCGGCGTGACACTTTACCTGTGTCTGCCGGTGTTTTTATTGTGTTCAAAGCACCGAGCACCTGTCCATACACGGTCTTTGTAAGTGTAAACACAAACGCACCATGCCGTATGTGCGCACCGGTCCGGTTCCTGCGGCTCGATCCATTATAGCCCCCTCACCCCCAAAGAAAGTGGCAGAGAATGGGAAAGGGGCGCAAAGTAGAGCGCTTCTTTTATAACAATATACTCACGTATCTGCGGAGTTTCTTCTCCGGCGGTGACTTCCTCAGCCAGCCTTGGCAGACAATCTCTCCTCCGCTCATGGTGAGGCTGAGCTTCTCGGCAGCCCCACAATAAAACCTCAGCGGCGATCTGCGCTCGAACAGCCCAATGACTCACTGCCGAATCCCGGCCACTTCACACCGGGAACCGGCGGCTCGACCCCCGCCGGACGCGCTCCGCTACGATCCAGGCAGCCATCCACCGCGCCCGTCCTTTGCCTACCTCCCGTCGGGAGGCAATGTAGCGGCGGACTCCGACCGCTGGCTCCACACTTCGGACCCCGCCCACGGTGTCCGGCCGCTCCGGCTAAAGGTTCGGGTGCCGACGGGCAAAAACTGCTCCGCGGCTACAGTTCTGCCCCATAAAAGTTCCGCAAAGGATGTTTGATTTCTTAAAAAATATCAAAGACCGCCCACAAAGAAAAAGCCAGTAAACGGGACGCTTCCTACAGAGCCCTGGGGACGGGCGCTGTGTTTACTGGCTTAAGTATAAAAGCAGCCCGGCGTGAGGGATCATCTCAGCAGAGAAGCGCGCAGGTTTCACGTAACTGAGCAGAAAGCGAAAGTGCCGGATGATGCGCCGTAGCCGAGACGAGCTGCGCCGAGCCGAGCCGGGCGCATCCCGCACGCTTCCCCCTACGGGATTCTACAGCTTCACTCTCCTCTTTGGGGTAGAAGCTGCAACTGGACCAGCAGCTACATCTGCTGGTTAGTCGTGCAACCCAGTTTAAAGTCATTCACACTAGCCTAAGACATTCTGCTTGTTTTCAGCTCTGTTTTTCCTAATAACTTCAATATTTAAATACTACTCGTGAATACAGACCAGCAACAACACGGTTAGTTTATATCTGGTTTGGCATTAACTGACCAAATGATACAATCTACACATTGGGAGTAGACAGTCGCTGTCTACTGTCAGTCGTTGGAGTACGCCATCTTGTGGACAAAAAAGGTCACATTTTATATCAAGCTATTAACTAAATCAAGATAGGAAGATGTTTATGGAAGACACGATAATAATCCGCCCAACTGTTTAACCAGTAAGGAATAGTAGGAATAACATAATTAATAATATCATTTCATAATGTGAGTCAACGGATAGAGCACACGGGAGAGCGGGGCTGTCGTGGGAAGTACGGACTTTTATTTTCAGACCAGGCAAACAGAGTTGGAGGGGGCGATCCGGAGACGTGAACGGGGCACGAAGCAAGGGGTCGGAGAAGCCGGTGAAGTCAAGCCGAGGGGGGTCACAAGAGGTGGGACAGGCGAACACGAGCGGGAGTCGGGGAAGCGGGGAGGAACGGGACCAACACGGGAGGACTGGGCTAGGGCTGCAAAGGAGACAAAGAGATAAACGCTCAGTATGTCGCATAGAGATCAACAATACCTCGCGCCGAGGAGTGCGAGGTGACTCCTTTTAAAGCCGCTGGTTCAGGTGAACGTGGTTCCGCCGATTAGGAATTGCAACAATACCGAAAAGTAGCTTTTAGAAATGCAATGCTGTATGACTTATGTACAGATACGGTTTCATATACGTTCATCATTCATTAGGGAAATAGTTATTTATTTATTAGCTATTTATATATTGCAAGACCGAATATGTTGATCAGATCATTATAGGCCTAAGTATTGGAAAGTTATTGTTGCTTACAGACAGTAACAACTTCTTCCTTTTATTTTTTTGTTTGTCTAGGTTATTCTTAGGTACCTCGCTTGTATGTCGTTTAAAACAAAAACGATTGCCAAACAAATAAATGTAATCTAGACCTAAATATCGATTAATGATACCAGCTAACAAGCGACGTCTTTTGGACGTCCGATTTTGGTCGGCCAGGTAACGCGTTACATTCACAACGTTAGGCAGACGTCCGATTTTAGTTCGTCAGGTAACGTTTCATTCACAATGTTAGGCGGACGTCCGATTTTGGTCCGCCAGGGAACGTTTCGTTCACAACGTTAGGCGGACGTCCGATTTTAGTCCGCCCGTAAACGTTTCATTCACAATGTTAGACGGACGTCCGATTTTGGTCCGCCCAGTAACGTTTCATTCACAACGTTAGGCGGACGTCCGATTTTAGTCCGCCAGGTAACGTTTTATTCACAATGTTAGGCGACGTCCTATTTTAGTCCGCCAGGTGACGTTTTATTCACAACGTTAGGCGGACGTCCGATTTTAGTCTTTGAATCCTTGAAATAAATGTATTTGATCATTTTTCTTTTTACATAGAGCCACTATACACAATAGTTTATTTTTTTCACTGCTAACAGTTTGGATCAGGAGTTGGTTATTGTAAAAGAAGTAATGTACGTGCATGTGGTGATATTTGTATAGGCCAAGCTTTATCTGCACCCTTCTGGCAGTGTGGCCAATGCAGTCGGGTCTCGCACACTACGACAAGAAGTTTGTCCGACTTGACTGCAGTCCGTTTATATTCCACCCATGCAGCCGCAGGCAGATCGCGCTCCAAGTCAGATCAGCTGCAGACAGCCCAAGTCGAACGCACCCAATTTCACACACCACACCTGATAATTCACACGCCGAGAAGCGATAAAGCTCGCGAGACGAGGCGCAGGCCAATAGCTCTGCTTAGCGCATACAACTGTCATGACCTAGCAACCTATCAGCTAATCAGAAAATAGTGTTGCCAGGTCAAGTATGATAATTATTTTCAGTTGTAAGCGCGCGCTGTTCTTATACGCTCTGAATGCGTCCATAATTCACAGACAAGTTGTAGAAGGACATGCACCAGGAAATCGTTTGTTATAAATTTTCCATTAGGTTACATTTCATTATGAGCTAAAGTGCTTAAATGCAAGCCGCTATCTCTGTCGGGTGTGGCATGTGAAATTATTTAAATGCTTGTTCCCATGTATCGTCACTCAAAACCTCTTTAAAATGAATAAGTTGAAGACGTTTAGGCAGTATTATGCGATAGGATCAAAATTAGACGCCTGAAGAACGTATTTGTAAAATATGACCTGTCTGTAACATTCACAACATCCCCAAACCCTCTGCCTAAAGTTCTGCATGAAACGTTACGTGGCGGAGGAAAATCGAACGCCCGCCATACATTGTGAATAAAACGTTACCTGGCGGACCAAAATCGGAAGCCCGCCGAATGAAACGTTACTTGCAGCTCTGGCGGACCAGAATCGGACAGATTCTGTCAAATCAAATGTATAGTTTTACTAAAATGTATATATATATATATATACATTAAAATACAAAAAAAAAGACATTTGGCCACAAATGAGCCTCTTAAACAGTGGTCCCTCTCTCTTAAATACGATCGAGCCTACAGTATATCTCTGTCGACGCGGCATTAACATCTGCTACAAACGCTCATATCTTGAGAGAGAGAGACCACTGCTGTTTAAGTGGCTCTGGCGCAAAATGTCACTAAACCGACAGAACATATGAAACGAAATTAATTAAACGATTACAAAATGGCATTAACATTGTTAACGTAGTAAGTCACAGAAATGTGAGACCTATACTGTGCGGTGCGTGTAAACACGTTCTTGCACTCGTTCGCGAGTTCTGTCCATTTTTTCGTCCGTTAGCCCATAGACTAACATGGGCAGCCGCCTCACTTCATAAAGCCATCAAATTTGACGTGATTCGAGGGCGCATATCTGTAACCGCCATAACCCTCATTCGTCTTTCCATCCATTCTTTTTCTGTGGCTTATTTTCCCCTTATGAGCCTATTCGTTTTCCCCATTTAGAGGCCACCTCCTGAACACACATCTGTCTCTTTCGACCCGCACTCTTTTACTTGCTTTTATCACCCCTCGTTTATTCCCCATTCACGTCAATACAATTTAATATGACTTTCTACTGGGCCAGTTTTCACTACAACACTTGAGGAATCACAGCATTTTCTTGCAGAAATGCATCTCTAGTTTATATGTATGTACTGTATGTATGTATAAACAAAGGGCACAAATTAAGTTTGATTTGATTTTGCTTCACCAAATCTGTCCCATCTCATGTAAAAGTATACTAGGCATGCTGGAAGTGGTTCAATAGAACTGCAATAGATAACCTCTTGTTTAAGGATTGCAATGTGGGGCCATTTTTATGTATGTATTTTGTCTCTTTTATGTTAAGTAAAGTTCTCTACATATTGACACATTTTCAGGAGAATATGAATACTGAGAAGGTAAGTTATTTTTCATTTATTTACAAAAGTTATTTTGAAAGGCAAAGCTATTAAAAACATTAAAGTTTATTAAATTTTATTCTTATGAATTAATTACTACTATAACTAAACTTGCATCGTAAGTGGTAGTAATGTTATTTTTCTTCAGAGACAAATATTCAGGTCTGTTTCCTTCAAAACCATACACAAGAAACGACAGTATAATCGGATTTGGGCAAGAGTGTCTCAATCACATAAAAAAACACTTCAGATGGAAGAGATGACTTTGTTGACTATGGAAGCAACCATGATGTTGATGGTGAACTAGGTCAAGGACAGCTGAATTTGTTTCAGGACCCAAACTGCTTCTTGTTGTGATTTTTCTTCTCAAGATCAAGTTCATAATGCTGCAGAAGTGAGCGATTCAGAATCAGAAAGTGAAGGACGTTATTCAGGCAGTAGTTCTCTGAGGGAAGAATTAGCCAGATGGGTGGCTATGTTTAATGTCAAGCACAATGCAGTTGACTCTCTTCTGAAAGTACTGGTAAAACATGGACATTCTGATCTGCCTACCACTGCAAGAACATTAATGGGAAACACAGGCAATTCAAATACAAAATGTGTCAGGGGTAGAATATGTTAAGTTTGATGTCAGACAAAGAATCCTAGATCATTTGCAGTCCTACCCTTCAGCCATGCTAAAGTCCTTGAATACTTTGGAAATTTCTTTAAATTTGGATGGGCTACCACTGTTTAAAAGCAACAACCGAGCACTCTGGCCAGTTTTGTGCTCTATTGATCTTGACTTAGTGTCTGTCTTTCCATTATCGCTTGCAGTGGCTTCATCAAAACCTACATCTATGGACTTCATTAGTGATACGGTTTGTGATCTGGCTAACTTACTAGAAACTGGAATCGAGTTGGAAGGGAGAAATCTAGCAGTACACATTAGGTGCATTATTTGTGATGCCCTAGCAAAGGCCATGATGAAATGTGTAAAGCAGTACTCTGGTTATTATGGCTGTGATAGATGTATACAAAGGGGAAGATGGCTTGGTAGAATGACTTATGAGGAGGAGACAAATCTGACGCTGCGGACTGATCTGACTTTCAGAGAACAAACGTATGCAGAACATCATCAAAAGGAAAAGATTTCCCCTTTCTGTAATCTTCCAATTGACATCAGGTGTTTTCCCGTTTACTACATTCATCAGTGTTGTCTAGGAGTTATGAGAAAATTGCTGGTCTTGTGGACAAGAGGCCATTCCACAGTAAGACTATCTCCTGTGCAGATAAAAGAAGTTAGTCATAGATTAAATCAGCTAAGGAGTGCTATGCCAAGATGTTTTGCAAGGAAGCCACGTGGTTTGGAAGAACTTGAAAGATGGAAAGCAACAGAATTTCGCCAGTTCGCTTTGTACACAGGAAAGGTGGTTCTTAAAGGAATTCTTCCAGACCAGTTCTTTGAGCATTTCATGACCTTTAGCGAAGCTCTATGCATGCTTGTCTCCCCAAAACTCGCTCAGCGCTACAGTTAGTATGTGCAAGAATTACTTGTGTTTTTTGTGGAACAAGGGCGATTTTTATATGGGGAAGGCTTCTTGGTGTACAATGTCCACTCTTTGATTCACATCACAGAAGATGCAAAAGAATTTGGATGTTTGGATAGTTGCAGTGCCTTTCGTTTTGAAAACTATCTACAGGAGCTTAAAAAACTAATTCGCTCTGAAAGACGTCCTCTTACTCAAGTCGTGAAAAGAATCGAGGAGAGCAGAGTTTTAATTCAAACCAAAAGCAGACAAACTAAGGAAGATGCAGTTGGTCTAAAGTATCCCAACAACACATTCATGCTAAAAGAAACATCTTGTTGTGAAGTGGTTTCAGTTGTTTCTGAGAGGAAGAAATGGAAGAATGTAGAATCTATGAACAGGTCGAGCCGTTATTTCTCAGCCCTTGTGACTCTTGTTTGATTGGAGCGTACAGAGTGCATGTGAGAAACGCACAAATGAAAACTGTATCTGAAGACTGCTTGGAACAGAGGACAATCATTATTGAAGAGAATCACGGAACTAGAGTTGTGCTTGCCATTCTACATTATCTCTGACTCTTGGTAAATGTGCTTTAATTGCTTTTGACAAACAGTTCTATCACTGAAAAGTTGTTAGATGCATTTTATTTTTAAATTTTAGGTTGATCAACGTTTTGCAGTTGTTCACTTTCTGAGGGAAAATTCGGTTGATGTAATACCATCGTCTTGGCTGGAAAAAGTAAATGGGGTAAAACATGAAAAAGGACAGATACAAGGAAAAGGAAAGTAAAATGTAAACTATGAAGAAGAACTTTTCATATTAATGTCAACATCTTTTTTTCTATATTTTGTTCATTTTTGTGTTCTTTTGCGTCTGACATTGACAGGAGCTATATTGCTATTAGCCGCAAAACAACGCTGCCAAAATGGTGAAAAGAGGGGATATGGCAGACAAACAACTATGGCTTAAATACCAAATCAGAGTCTTCACGTTTGCAGGTAATTTTTATTGCAATCCTGCTTTTTCATTGGACACGGTAGTGATGATTTTCTCTAATCATGTACAGGTGCTGTTGTTTACTGTGAGGGATTTTTATTGTTTATGCCAAATTGCTTTATCCACAGACAACTATCAATTGTCAAGGGACAGGGCACAAAAAGGACTTGAAACATCTAATATTGAGTCCAATAGGGGCAGTGTGAGGAAGGTGAGGCGTCCTGCAAGATTTATAGAGGACTCCTCAAGTGAAGGTTCTATTACATTCTGACATTTAAAAAAGTAGCAAAATTGGGTTGCATTACTCCATTAAATAAGTAACTTACTACCATAAAATCAGTGATTGTGATGCAACCAAATGATCTATCTTCATTAAACGAATGTGAGTATGGCAATGAAATGTTTGAATTCTCCTCATACTGATTGATTACATTGTTTACTTGTAATTATTATTTTCCCATTAACACAGATGAAGAGTTCCTGTTGCGAAGGAAAAATAAAGCTAGGTGTAAGTACTTTAAGTAATACACATTTGAAGTAAAGTGACAACAGGAAATTCCAACATTCACTTACAAAATCTCAGAGCATGCATAAACATTGCACTAAATATAGCAGCCAATACAACCTTAATATAGAACCCAGTGTAACAAACCCTGCATTACTCTGATTAGCTTGTCAAAAGAAATTCACTGCAAAGTTTTGAATGAAGAGCATAAGGCTATTATTTTCTAATTAGTAAAACTTTATCTTGCGGATATCCCACTAGGTACTATGAGTTCTTCTTTGGACAGGGGAAGTTCACAAGGTACTAGAATTGTATTTTTTAAAATACTTTCATATTGAAAATGAATCACGTTTATATAATTCGATTTATATGATGATACTGTCACAGAAAAAGAGCATGGAGCTGCACTGCCTGCTCCCCCCCGAATGTAAGTGTTTAATTACATAGCACAGTATAATTATTTGATGTCTGGTGTTTTTTTTTTTACAAACAAATGTTATAATTGAACTGTATTTTATGTCTTGTGTTAAGTTTGTTCATCACCAGTTGTCATACCTACTATCTCTTCAATGCATGATGCCAACTTACAAGGTATAGTCATTTCTAATTTATACTATTGCAAGGAAGGTCCATTTATGGGCCTTCTTTCCATGCACTTCCAAGCCACTGTAGATACTTCAAAATGCATTCAATCAATCGAGATGTTCACATGTCACTCCCCCTTTCATCTTACTCTATTGGTTCCCAGTAGGGTTAGGACGACTATTTGACGTAATCGACTATTATTAGTCAAATAGAGAAAAAAAAATCGCTACATTAATCATTTAAAGAAGAATCGTTTGGGGCAGCACTAGTTCCCAGTAGAAGCATATGTCAGTATTTAAGACTCCTACAATTTTCCCGCAGAACAGTCAGTGGATTATCACCTATCTATTTGAGGTCTCTCACCTTACCCTACACTCCTTCCCATGGTTTTAGGGGTAATGATTGGGAAATACCACCTTCATCACAGAACGGCGTTCTAGTGGTAGGATACTCTGATATGACCCAAGTGTTTTTTGGTTCAAATCTGGCTGTATCCTGACTTTTACACATCTTACTCAGTTGTTTTGATCACACCTGAAAGGCGCTTTGGATGAGAGCATCTGCCAACTAATTGTGTATCACTTCAAAACCACACAAGCATTTGTTTAGTTACATTTAGTTATTTTGTTTTCAAGGCTCATAGCAGAATTGGTCTGCTTATGCCACATATTGCCTTTCTGCATACATTTTGAAATGTATGTTTTGCCGAGCCATATGCTTGGCTCCATGGTCTTGTAAGACCTCAAATGGTTGCTTAAAGGGGAATTTAAGTATTTTACACTTACACTGTTAAATTAATCCCCCCCCCCCACACCCCAGCTATCAAGAGCTTTATTGAGGCTTCTGAAAAGAGAATTATGATGAAGTTAGAGAGGATGCAGTATGACTTTCAGAATGCAATCCAAGGATTACAACAAATATCTGCACCCTCCCCATCACATGAACAAGTGATATGGGAGAAACCATGTGAGACTCAACAGGATATAGTTAAAAAACCTGGCATACAGAAGAAAAATGGTAAGGCATTTGCCTCCACATTAACACTGTAAAATAGACCTCTGTATAAAGAATACTTTTTCATACTAAAATATTACTCCTTAGCAAATCCAGTGACAAAATGTGGGTCAAACAAAATATGGCACTACCGTCATTCGGTCTCTGAGCAAGACCCTTAACCCCAACTTGCTTCAGGGAGACTGTCCCTGAATTTAGAAAATGGAAATATGAGCATCTGCTAAATGCTGTAAATGTAAATGATTATCTTAACACTGAATAGTTACAAAAATATCATTAAGACATATCTGTGTTCTTACATGCATGGTTCATAACACCTATCCCAGTCATACCATACAAGGTTATCTAATGAATGTATTCAGTTTGAGGTAAACTACTGTATGGTCTTCTGTAACTATTTCTTCTGTGTTCTCCTAGGATGATGCTGCAGTGAGAGATACAAGGGAAATGGAGCAGGGACCTGAAGCGGATGAATTTGCTTGTTAATGTTGACTTTAACATTTAATAACAACATTCTAATGTTATGAAAGTTTTTGATGTTAATAAAGTGAGATGACTGAAATATGGAATAAATGCATTATTCATATTTAAATATATATCCATCCACCCATTATCCAACCCGCTTATCGTACTGGATCGCGGGATTTAAATATATATTATAATATAATTATTTAGAATTATATATTGCATATATAATGGTTTGTTTGTTTATATATATATATATATATATATATATATATATATATATATATATATAAACAAACCTATATAAAAATGTTAACGTTGTGAAGACGTGGTGAGGACCCTACAAAATAACGTGTCTTGGTCTGTAAAACCATATCGGTAAAGTAAAAATAGGGTCCGCCATCGCCCCCGTGTGGCCCGTCCTGCACTGTCGGCATTTGCGTGTCGAGGGGGCTCCGTGCCGTGTACTGGCTCACCGATAAGCTCCTTCCTCTGATGGAGGTATTTGCTGCAATCCTCGGATCTGTGTTTGGCTGCGGCGAGCAGCAGGTTCTGAAGGTGACACAGGTGGAAGATCAGGAGCGACATTCAGTTACAAAAGCCTCCCGCCCAGAAAAGCACCTCACAGCGCGACCATCACTTATTTAACAACCTTCCTTAGATATTTGCCAGGAATAATAGGTATAGCTACTTTGTGCTTTAAAACGGTACACACAGCCCTCTACCTGCAGCTAGACCCCAGCACTGAGTTTGGCACCTAAAAGGCTTTGACATGACGGAATAGTCCGGATAATTTATACGGGGGGGCACAGTGGTGCAGTGGTCAGGACTGTCGCCTCACATTATTTCTGGGACCACAGTTTGAGTCTTTGCCATGGTTCCATGTGTGTGGAGTTTGCATGTTCTCCTCGTGTCATTGTGGGGTTTCCTTCAGGTACTCCAGACCCCCCGCCGCCGAAACATGCTGAGTTTAATTAGAGTTACCAAATTGCCTATTGGTGTGCTGGTGTGAGTGAATGGTGTGTGACTGTACCCTGGGATGAGTTGGTGCCCCATCCTGGGTTGTTCCCTGCCTTGTATGCCTTGTAAATATGACATTTAGTGGAAACAGTGTACCAACAAAAAAAAGGGAGGGGGGGGGGCTGCAGTTCTAAGTTGGTGGGAAGCCCACCTAAGTACAACTGGCCGGTCACCCGAGACGTTTGCATCTCACAGCTGAGAGACTTTACACAAGCACACAAACAAAGTACAAGAATAATAAATTATAATTAGGCCTATTAATAGTAAGAATAATAATAATATTTAGCTCCGGTCCCCCCCCCCAGTTGTGATTAAGTGGTTTCAGAAACTGGATGGATAATATTTAGTGTGCCAAAGAATAGTTAATAGTTAAGCTTCTAAATACTTAAACACCCTGGTACCTACCAGCATAATACTGTAACTGCAGGCAAGGGCACCATTTACAGCAAACACAGCAGCGCAGTTCCAGCAGCTCACTGAGCTCTGGCGGCACCACAAAGCCAACTGGATAATTAATCAGAGTAAGAGCGGCTTCCATACATCATTTTGACACTTTAAATTAATAGGTCAAGTCAGTCATGTCGGCCTTAATATAGCCGCCTCTCCCTCGTAATGATTCTGCAGACAGTTTCACCCACCATGCAAATGAATCCGGCGGAGTGTAGGTGATCTAGCTCAACGTGAGACGGGGCAGCAAGGAAAACGACCCAACTTTCGCAAATAAATATTTGCATTTCAATCGGTATGTAAAAACACAACCGTGGCGGTTGGTGAAGCTGATATCCACATATTGCCAGCGGTTACGTAAGACAGATATTAGGATAAGACTGCAGAACAGACCCGGCAAGTCTCCCTTCCCATAAGCTTAGTCCACGGCATTTCAATACAGCTATGCGGAACTGTTACTAAGCTCAAGTTAACACTGTGCTACAGCTAAAAAGGGGAGTAGAATTGTGCAATTAGCCGAACAGGAGCGCAAACAGCAGAGCCCACCCTCACTTCTTGAAATTAGACACCATCGGCAAGACCGAAGTGCTTCAGTCAGACCCGCGGGGGCTGACAGTCGTGTTTTGACGATCATCCATTTGCTGATGACTAGATGGATGGTTTCCAGCACGCAGCCAGCCGCCAGGGTCGTTAGCCGGGGCCTCGGCTGCGTGTGAAAGGCAGTCAGCCGCGTCCGCCTCCGCAGTCTGCACAGGTAGAACGGCGGTACTCCGCCAGCAGGAGAACGAGAAACCAAGCTGTGCAGCCGCGGAAATGCCACCGGGCGCCTCTGGCAAGAGCACGGACCGCTCATGCGTGTCTTTCCGGCAGGTACGCCCCCTACAGGCCGGGGCGACCACACGCGGTGATGTGACCTCTCCTCCGCGTACGGCATACGCCGCCAACACTTGGCCAATTTCTCACTGGATAAGTTACTACTTAGCATCATGCGGAGACGTGACGCGCCATATGGGACCTTGGGGAGTGTATGCATGGAGGAGTTCGGTAAATAAGATTGCACCCCCGAGAGCGCCATTTATAAACCTACTTGTATTTACATCCAAACATCAAGTAATCCTACTGTAATTAAAGCCATCTGATCAAACGTAACTATGACCATATATATGTAAAACGGAAATATTCTAGGTATAAACATACAGAAAAAAAACAGGAACAATAAGGACCTCAGATGGTGACCGCATAGGCGTTATTTTTACGCCATTTCATTAATGACCTCAATGTTGGTTTCGCTTGCTTTGCTTTGTAATGAACTCTTCTGTAATTATGCACATTCAGTGACATTACATGTTTTATCTCCTCCTGTTGCGACTGATGAGCTGATGAAAATAAGACGCCAATGAGCTGAATCATTCGTATGCCTCAAGCATCCAAGGTCATCATGCAGCGCCTAGTTTGGCCACCAGATGGAGCGCTAACTTCAGCGTGGACGCTTTGCATATTGCATTGCATCGAGCTGCGTTGCTGATCTACCGTGGAAGGCTAATTGCATGTAGATATTACTTATATACATAGAGTGCACAGTTTCACTCTGGTGAATCAGTCGTTATTTAGTTTTTTCTGTTTAATATTACACAACTGTAAATCTACATATCATATTGACATTTAAGAAATATATTTTATTTCATCCTGCCACGAATTAACAAACGACCTGCAATGAAATGCCCTTCAGTGTGGAGGTTAAAAGCACTGAAATTGCTGGCGCAGATGATTGCTGGCCCTATCTCTTGCTAAACTAAAGACGTCTCAGTTTATTTTGAGTGTACAGTGAGTGTTCCTTCCCGCCCCGGTCCAGCACTGCACCGCTGGTGTTATTTTACAGTAATTTTTGCCGTGTGGTCAGTGCATCTCTTTCTAAGAAAGTCATCACTGTGAATCTTCCAGTGCTGCGAGATCAATGTCGAGCACACATCTGCTGAGCCTGGCAGGGCGTGGGTCGCGTTCATTGCCGCTGTTGTTTGGTGGGTCGATATGTGATTAGCTCTGAAACGCAAAGGTTCTTGTTGCGAAAGCCTGGGGCTCAGTGGAGGGGTAGGGCATTAAGGTCCCACTCAGGGTGCAGCCACTTACTTGGGATTAATCAGGTCTTTTAGCCTGTGCTTCTTCTCATATCGACACCCCCCCCCCCCTTTCTAAGCCACTGTTGGCCTGGCAGGATATTTGCATCCCTCACAAGAAGGGCTATTGGTGGCTCTCTAAGGGGCGTGGTCTGCATGGGGTCATGTGACTGCTTGGGTGTGGCTCGTCACATGCGAACAGACACAGGCTCCTGGGGACAGAAGGGTGGCGGAAGGTGAATCAGAGTGTGGAAGACGGCATGATGCCAGGGGAGGTTCTAGGGGTGGGCCGGGAGGGGGGGGGTG